AATGACAAAGTAGGTTTTACTAACAGTCTTGTGAAAATGAGACTCAGACTTTTTAAGTTTAGCTTCTAAAATGCTCTCAAAGAACAATGAACATGTTGAAGCTGAGGTTTATACTAAGTACAGGCATATATTGCAAGTGTGTGTGCACAGCTTCACTGCTCTATTCCAAGATGCTTTGTGCTGGTGTTCAGTTTGCTTGCAAAATTTCAGAGGCTCTCTGGCTGTAGGATCAGAGGCTCATCTGGATGATGGTGTTCTCATAAATTATCAACTTTGTGCAGTCAAGGTTTTTTAGAACATGTTCATCCTTTTATAAACTGAAATATGGGAGGGATCAAAGAACTGTGAGAAATGCTCTTCTGGGAGTGTTTTTATAGGTACTTACTGTCAAGCAAAACTGAGATGCTGATGGGTTTGCTTCCACAAATTGGAGCTTGATGCCTCAAAATAGAATGTATTGACATGCTGAGGTTTTGCTAATGCTTTGGTTATACTATATCTGTCTAACAGGAAAATGCTTAAAAATCTGTGTTCTAGATCTTTTAGGGGTATAAGTGGATGTCTTTGTAACAGGGTTTTCTGTGATCAAGAAACTCATTATGGGGACAGCAGGATACTAAATCACTGTCAGAGTTGATGGTAGTCTTGCATCCTGGACCATTCATCATTCTTCCTTTGTTTCAACCTCTGACTTCCAGTGTTATAAGTTATTCAGAAGTTGGCTAGAAAGCTTCCCAATCTAGGTAGGGCTTTTCCTTTTCATAACTCTCCATGGACCTTATTTGGTTTAAACACCAAAGGTTGAAATTCCTGGGGTTATACACTTATTCCACAAGTCCTTTTCATATGTTGTATGAAATTAATCAAATTATGATTGTACTGTTTCTTTGAAAAGCACAATTTGTCCTGCACTTCTGTTGTATTGTTCCTGATAGTTTATTATGCAGCTCTGGCTGGCATTTTCTACATTTGTGTTATACAAGACTTTAATGTTCCTTGCTTTGTTGTAGAGTATGGCAACCATAATGGGGCACTGGGGGGAATCAGCCAAAAATGTAAACTACTGTCTGAGAGCAGTCACCTAAGCCCCAGTTGTAGAATTCCTTGTTCTTTAAAAAACTTCATTTCTAGTACAGGGATTTAAGAAAAAAATCTGTGGTGCCTGATCTATTTATCTCTGTCACATCTCTTATTTGTATATTGCCTTTATTCTTACTATATCCTAAGATTAAGCAGAAGGATTGGTACTTTTATTGAAGTTCAGCTTCTAACCTAAGAAGTCACCTTAATTTTTGTTTTTCTGTCTGAATTACTTGTTGACTTTCTGCAATAAATATATTTTTAAAATATGTTTTAAAAACCCTCTAAATGTTCACAAGAACAAGCTGATACAAGCTGAGTTTGCTCTTTTAAGGTAGGGCAGCTTAAAATCATGGTGCCTAGTCCATGAAAATGACAAGTTGAATTTTCTTGAATTTTAGGTGTTACATTTACAACAAAAAGGGACGGCTGGTAAATGCACCGTACGTGGACAACTCTTACAAGTGGGCTGGTGGTGGCTTCCTGTCATCAGTAGGTGACCTCCTGAAATTTGGAAATGTCTTGTTGTACAGTTACCAAGCCGGACAATTTAAAAACAAGAACGCCAAACTTCTTCCAGGGTACCTCAAGCCAAGCACAGTTGCAATGATGTGGACTCCAGTGCCAAAAACAGAAGTGTCATGGGACAGGGATGGTAAATACGCCATGGCTTGGGCTGTGGTGGAGAAAAACCAACAGTATGGCTGCTGCAGACAGCAGAGACACTATGCATCTCACACCGGCGGCGCCGTGGGGGCCAGCAGCGTGCTCCTCATCCTGCCTGAAGAGCTGGACCCTGAAGCTGTGGGTGCCTGGCCAGTGGCACCCCCGAGAGGTGTCATTGTCACTATTATCTGCAATATGCAATCGGTTTCGCTCAACAGCACTGCCTTAAAGATCGCAAGGGAATTCGATAAAGAGAAACGGGCACAATCTGCGGGCTAAGAGATGTGTGGGACTGAGCTCACTGGGCTGAACAACAAAGGGAGAAGGGTGTAACTGGACTTCAAGTTCACTAAGAATATGGGAAGAAAAAACACAAATAATTCACTTAATTAATCTCTGCTAGTGGTGCTAAAATGACGTCTAACTGGAATTCATCTCTCAGGGAAGTTCCTAACTTACAGAAAATGAGAATGTAACAGTCAAAGGTGACTTTCTGTAGTACCTGTGTAAATGATCATTATATTTAGCAGGTTATTTTTACCAACTAGTGAAACACTTGACCAAGATAAAAAAATAGCCTTTTTTTTTTTTGCACTAAATACAAATTACCTACCTAGAATGTTAAACTTTTGAAAAATTTCACATCTTGATTTTAGCACACAAATATGTTGCTTGTTATTCTCACAGTTCCAGTCTGCCACAACTATTCAGTATTACTTTTTGAAGAAAAAATTGTGTAACCATTGTTTTTTGTTTTTACGTACCACTTCCCTAACTTGCTTAAAAAACCAACAAAACCCAAACCTTGAAGCTACCTCCAGAATGCAGATTTATACCCAGAAGCAGGCTTTTGTCAGAGCTGTGGATTAAGAACTAGAAAAGAATGAATCTAGAGCAATGTAAAGTAAATTTAAATGTAAAGTAAAATTCTCTTCATTTTTTAGATATTCTCTCATCCATTTTTATTGGACACAGAGAATGTGTAGAATTAGTTTACTGTGCAATAAAGGTATTATTTCTAGAGTCAAATCCACCCAAATAGCACAATGTGCAAGGTGTCAAACTGTCCTGTTGTTTTTGAGTGACATACACTTGGCAGCCAGAAATGGCACTGTATTCTGTAGCCTAGATACTCCCTTGTAAACAGGAATTAGGAACTCAAATAGCTCAATACAACTCAAAGTCCATGCTTGAGGCCAGCAGTAGAAGTTTCACCAACCAAACACGGCCATGGCGGCTGGAGCACAGCTCAACGTGCTGCATCCAGGGGTGGGGACACCACCACCTCTGTGGGCAGCTCCTTCCAATGCCTGAGCACCCTTTCTGTGAAGAGATTCCCCCTGTTGTCCAACCTGATCCTCACCTGGTGCAGCTTGAGGCAATGTCCTCTTGTCCTTTCACTTGTTCCCTGTGAGAAGAGGCCAACCCCCCCTGGCTCCATGCTCCTGTCAGGGAGTTGTAGAGAGTCATAAGGTCACCCCTTTTCTCCAGACTCCTTCAGCTTCTTGTCAGACTTGTGCTCCAGACCCGTCCCCCAGAGAAAGAAAGAATGGCAGCTGCCTTTCTCTGGACATGCCCCAGCTCCTCAATGCCTTTCCTGACGTGAGGGGCCCAGAGCTGGACAGGGGACTACAGGTGGGAGATTTTCTAATTATCAGTTTCACAATGGGAATAAAGTAGCATCTAAGTGTCCATTTTATGTATTTCACAATGGCATGGAAGATCTCTGTCATCTCAAGATTTGCCCCCACCTCACTTCTCCTGCAGTTACATTAGACAGTACTTCCAGGCTGAGACAAAACAGAAATATCTTTCAGGAAAGGTTCCTGCACTGCTTAGCAGCTCTGCTGCTCTGAATTTAAGGAGTAAGGTGTCTTGGTTAGCAGCTAGCAGAAGACAGCTCTACCTGCCTCTTTCCCAAACTAATGCTTTTGGTGTTATCTTCACAGTTGTCACCTGCCCTGTGATGACACAGCGTGCTGCCATCTCTGTTCCCACTACACCTATGGTAATATTTATTACCCAAGACCAAGAAACCAGGAAATTTAGTATTTTGAGGGGTCAGTGTTTTACCTGCATTTTTAATTGGAGCTAATAAGACTAGTTTAGTATATTCTTCATAATTACAGTCATTATTGTACCTTAAAAACTGTTTGCTTGGAGTTTCTGGCCCACTCACCAAAATTTCACTTCTTTATTCATTAATAATGTATTGTCTTTATCTCAAGAGTATCCAATCATTTCATCTTCTAGTACCTGGAACAAAATGGGTCCCTGACAGTCTCTGCTTTGATATTACATTAATCATGAGTTCTTATCTTTTAGGGTAGAGAAGGCAGCGATATGAGAGACTAGGAATCAATCTGGCCTTAGCACATGTATTCAGGTCACAAATAATATTGCTACTTTGAACTTTGTTCTAAAACCAGTAATTTGATGGGCTGGCATTGCACGTGAGAAACTAACTAGACTATGTCTGGTCAATTAAGAGCAGCTTTCATGATAAACTTACTTGTGAGTGAACCTTTGTTGTGAGTGGCACTGACATAAACCCCTATTTTTCTTAGAAGGCATGTGTATTCCATTAGTACACCTGTTTCTGTATCAAACACCTCCTTCTGCATATGGTATTTACATGTTTGCTGTTTGAAATAACAGAAATAAAACTTACCTTGCAAATGCAACCAATTGTAGTATCAGGTTTTTGGGTTATTTTATTGACTAGACATGTACATGTTTTCAAAGTCATAAAAAGAATATTAGCTAATTAGAAAATCTCAATAATAATTAGCTAACCAAGACACCTGACACTTTTAAAGAGCTGTTGATACATGACTTGACATATTACTTAATACAATAAGATATATGTAAGATTTTTTTAAATATTTTCTCATGGTTAAAAACAAAATCCATTTTTACCAGCCATTTAGAAAGACATGGCTTTCACAAACAAATGAAACCCTTTTCCTTATTGCAAGAAGGCAATTATTTAACACTAGTATTTAATACTAACAATATGCATGGGCTTGCTGTACTAGTTCCTAGATACCACTCACACCTCTTAGTGCAGTTCCATGACTTACAACTGCTTATATGCCAGTTGCCTTCTCTGTACTGCATGTTTTCAGTGCTTTGCAAAGGACTACTTTTGTTTTGGCTTTTTTTTGGATAGACATCTCAGTTTAGAATACCAAGGGCAGTCTTGGGGGGAGGGAAATCCATGCATTCCAGAGAAACAGCTGAACAGAGATGAGTAACTTTTCATTTTTATTTATCACCATATTACCCAAGAGCGGGGAGGGACTACAGCAACATTGAAAGCAAATGAGCCATTTAAAATCTTATCTAGCTTTTGCAACCCTTGCAGTTACAGTAGCTGCAGTAATAAAATACACAAAATGCATTTTTAAAGCAGTTTCTGTCACTATATGCATTCCACTGCTGTAGTTTATGATTAGCAAGGAAGGATGCAGGAAGTCCAAGGTTTTTACTGTTCAAACAAACTTATAAAAATAGAGCTCGGTTGTCTGCAACCTTACAGGAAGAACTTGCACTTCAGATCATTTATTGAAAAAGAGATTCCAGCAGATTAGTCAGCAGTAGCATGTAATTTGTACAAAATCAATCATAATTACATTGTTGTTGTAACAGGCATTTTTAAACTGGTAAGGCTTTCAGGAACACAGATCCAAAAATCACATGCTGAACTGTTCAGTGTTGCTTTCTTCTAAATGAACAGCCTGCAAAGAAATCACGTGAGTAGAGATAAGAACAGTCCTTAAATTGTGAGACTGCCTTGAAAAATTATCCATCCAATGTAAGTAGAAAAAATCATGGATTAAATTTAAATTTTATGTACCATAAGAGGTGAAGATTTAACACTGTAGGTCTTCTCTAGCTCAACTGGAACAATATGGCTGTCATGCAATTCATCTTAAAATAAGGTTAAAGTGTACTATTCCTTTTCTTCCAGATGCATTTTAAAATGTCAGTCTACTGTTCCATCCTTTAGTGATACAAACCCCAAACTGAAACAGCTGCTGTGTGTGTTGTTACCATTTCAACTGCTCAACAGCCTCCCTTCAGGTGTTCTGTCCTCAAGTTTACCACCCCTGGGTAGTAGCACATTATATAAGCACTGCTATGTGTAATTTGTATACATGCTTGCCTTTTGCCCTTTAAACAAGAAATTAATAAAATCTGGATTCATTTTTACATTTTTTAAATCCTAAAGTGCTTCCAGTGCTTTTCACATGCCCCAGAATTGGGCTGCACTCAATGATACTGGTGTTATACCTGTTACCTGTATATACATTATTGGTGGCTATTTGTTCCCTTATAATTGATATGAAACAAATGTTCTTTGAGCCAGGGAACTGCTTTACAGTAGGGCTGTTTAAAAACAAACAGGCAAGCCATTAGTGACTAGCAGTGGCACAGAATTACTTTAGCCTGGCAAAAGTACCTTATGGTGCTTTTCAACACTTTAAACACAGCCCAGAGTTAAACAGCAGTATTCATTACACAAGCTGAAGGGAATGACAAGTCACCTAAAATGAAGTGTGTTTGATGACAATGTCGGTGTTTAGCTCCCTGGCAGATCTGTATAGCCATTTAAAAACAAAGAATCTGAAGAAAAATTCACAATTCTGGGCCTATTAACAATGTTCATAATAGCCAACTCTAAGCAATTTGCAAAATCATTGTTCCAGTATCAGTTTCCAAAATCCAAGCCAAAATATTTGTAGGCTATAAAATACCTTTATATAATGGCATATTTAGGTTGTGTAACATTGCCCTTACCTTCTGTGAGCCTGGCTTTGCCCCCAGTTGGCTGGCACAGGACAGTTGAGCACCCTACACACAGAACTACTGTCTGAGCATGGCTGAAGACAGTGGTGATCTTGTAGCATCCTGAAAAACAAAATTATGAAACTTTCCACTGGGTATTTCTAGCACCATTTTTTACGTGTTAATTGAATCAGGCACTCTAAACACACCCAAAATGCATCTATATTTCCTTACACAACACACCAAGCCAAACTCAGCAAGCCATTGTGTTCTGAAGTGCTTGCCTTTACTTACAAGCATAGGAAAGCAAGTTAGGTAACAGGAACTGGTTTGATTCCCATAGGAAAATCAACAGACCCTGCTGGCTGACAAGCCCTAATTTGCCTATCACATCTCCTGTAAAGAAGTTCAGCAGTTCCAGATTAGCCTCCTCTGCTGAACGGAGGGGCCCATGTAGCTGGAGAAATATTTAACTTGTAACAGTAGAACACTGCTGTTGACAAAGTCTGAAAGCTGGGAACATAAACACTGCTGTTCCAATCTGTGTTTGCTTTCTGTTTAATAATTGGTACATGTAAGGCTTGGTTGCATTCTGTAAAGCTAACATAATATTTAAATGGAAAGACTTGCACAGAAAAATTTCACTAATTCCCTATGCAACGCTTTTGTCTACAACTTATAAATTCTATCATTTAAGAAAGGATGAGATCACTCATACACAGCTTAGAAAAGGGATTTTCACTGCTTTTCAATTTCTTCCCCTGAAAAGTATTTTTAATTAGCCAAGTGATATTTTTGGAGGGAGAAAACCTGCAAAGGATTTAATCTGCATGTGGATGTACAAAATAAATAGGTAAAGGTGAGCAGAGATTGCATTTTCAGCACGTGTGGATCAGAAAGCTAAGACAGACTACATGTTGTGAGCAGGGTCCTGTGACTAAAGGTCTGCTTGGTAGGGAGAAGTACTATCAGACAAAATAACAGATCTCTGCTTAAATCACAAAGAGCAACTGTACAAATCTTTGTGAAAAACTGCTAAGAGCCAAAATTTAATCACAGCAAATTTTGTTTTTCCCTTATTGAAGCTGAACTTCCATGTGGATGAGTTTTTAATGTTTGTGGGTTGGCAGGCAAATGAGCCCAACCCACTTGAGTACCAAGGTAGGAACTTCCAGTTCCACTGACCTAGGGACACACAAGGCCATCTGCTATTTTCAATGTCCTGTGCATAGGATTCTAGCATTATTGAAGCTCTCCTGCTTTGCTCTATATACCCTCAAACACAAAAAACAATTAACCCAACAATAATGAAGATAACCCACGACCTATGGGCCTATGTTGACACTAACTGTATCACAGTGTATGCATTCACGTATACTGCTTTGAACAAAGTGTAAAAAAAACCAAAAAAAAACCAGAGGCTTAGCCTTCAACCCTGTATTTGTCTGAAAGCAACCACAGTTTACTTTCAAGTTGTTTACATTAACTTACCTCGCTTTCAGATGGAATATGTCTCAGAGCTTCTTAGAAAACTAGGCTACTAAGAAAGAATAAGATCAGAAAACCTGAGTACCTCAACAATTCCCTGGTTCTAAGTCAGGAAGATCATTATTGTAAGTGTTTTCTCACTGCTAGAATCTTCTTACGCTGCAGCAGTTGCTAGGAAGTTACCACTCTGGGCAATGTGGATGTAACTGTGCTGAATAAAAAAGCTGTTCACTGGTAGAGCACACTCCTGTCATGGTGCTACAAAATCCCATCGTTTAGTTTATGAAAGAGAAGTTGATTATACAGATGTCTCTGAGCCAAAGGAATGAAGATCTCTGAAAAGTGGACATAGGCAACATCTTATAACCCCTGTATATGAGCTAGATGGCAGCTTAGTTCTTAACAGCACATGCAAAAAAGGCAGCGGTATATGTTTTACTTTTATGTATGTGTGCAGTATCCTTGCATATATCCTTGTCAAAGGATTGCCTTGCTCTTCCAGAACTAACTTACAAAAGGAGGAGAACAATGTTGGTTTCTGTTTATCCTTGCATATATCCTTGTCAAAGGATTGCCTTGCTCTTCCAGAACTAACTTACAATGTTGGCTTCTGTTTGAAACTTGTGCTATGGATACTTTAATGCATCAATTTAATCTCACTTTTTATACATGTAAACCGGTGTTTTATAAAAGTGTTTTATAAAGGAAAAAACCCAACTAAAGAAGCCCTCATGCCAGAACCTCCAGAAAATGTCTGATTGTTTACATTAACTTTTTCCAAATATGGGAAACACTTTTATTGTTAAAAAACCCAAAGCAATATAAAGATCTTTTTCTCTACAGAATAGATAAACCAAACTCAGATAAGAAATAATAATCAACCGTTATACGTACGGTATACAAAATTAATTTTGTTCCTTCCATAACGCATGAACATTTCGAATATTTACCTGGACATTTTACATCCATGAAGTAGGAGTTTGGGCTCTGCACAAGACGTTTCTTTTTGTGTTTCCTCTTCTCATCCTCTAAGGAGGGGTGCACTAGGTCCTTGGCCAGCTGGGTGGGGCAGGAGGAAAAGCGCACGGCGCGTTACGCGGAGCCGGCGGGCGCCCCGGGGCTGCCCCGAGCGCGGCCGCAGCCGGGCCCGCACGGCCGGACCGGGCCCGCCCGGCCTTGGCGGCCGCCGGCGGCTCCCGGCAACGGCGGGGAGCCCGAGGACGGTCGCGTCCGCTCCGTCACCCCCCGCCCCGCGAGGAACCCACAGAGCCCGGGCCAGGCGGCACCGGGCACGGGCAGAGCCCGCACACAACTCACAGGCATGTCCGCCGCCGGGCCGGCCCGGGCGCTGCCTGCGCCGCAGCCGCGCCTGTGCCGAGCGCCGGGGGCGGGAGCGGCCGCGCGTCGCTCGGCACCGCGCTGCGCCACAGCGGCCCGCCGGGCGCGGAGCGCCTGTCGGAGTGCGCCGCCTTCACGATAGATGGGGCCTAAATCATCCGCGTATGGCGCACAAGTGTGGAACCGCCAGGGCTGGAAGGCAGCTCTGGACATCATCCAGAGCAGGTGACACAGGAACGTGTCCTGCTGGGCTTGGAATGCCTCCAGGGAGGGAGGCTCCACAATCTCCCTGGGCAGCTGCTCCAGCGCTCTGCCACCCTACACATAAGTTCTTCCTCATGCTGAGATGAAACATTTTGTGGTTTAGTTTATGGCCATTGCTCCTTGTCACATCGCTGGGCTCCACAGAAAAAGTCTGGCACGATCCTCTTGGCACTGGCCTTGAAGATATTTATATGTATTCAATAGATTGCCTCTCAGTCTTCTCTTCTCTCGTCTAAACTGGCCCAGCTCCTGCTGTCTTTCCTCGTAAGAGAGATGCTCCAGACCCCTCATCATCTTTGTGGGCCTTTACAGGACCCTCTGCCTGTCTTCCTTTTCTTGAGCAACCCAGAACTGAACATATGTTTGTTGTTTCATAGTAAATGGAATATTGCATGAAGTTGTACCCGTGAGCATATTCTCTTGCAGTTTCCCACCCCAGTCAAAAAGAAAAAGGCAGAAGAATTTCTATTAGTTATCATTCATGTGCTTAAATGAATTTAGAGAACTTATGAGACATAAAAATATTGCAGAGAGTGGAAATTTAAAGAAAAAAAATCACTTTTTTTTTTTTTTTTTTTGGTAACAGGCTGAGTGTTTTGTCTGTAAATTAGTAATCACAAATGTAATCTGTAAAATCACGTGTATTTATCCTGGGACATTTAAAAGTGTAGTTCAATAGAAATCCTCCTGGTGGCACAACACACCTTACAAAAATCACTTGGTATGGAGTCTTCCCAAAAGTCCAACGCGAACGTGTCAGGACATTGCCTTTCTGAGAGGGAACGGATGCATTTAAGCAAAACTTATTTGAAAAGTTTGCCATGAGCACAAGTGAGGATGTAATTTCACAGAGGCATATTGCTCTGACAACAATATTCTCAAGGCTGGGCTTGGTCTCTCCAGTGCTATAACAACTTTCAAAATACTTTCCACCCCAAACTCTTACATTATTCTGCCAGAATAGCCCTGTGTGTTGCAGTGCTCCAAGCCATTATATTGGTTTTCCTCTCCTCACTGTCCCAGCCTTGTAACACTGCAATGCTGTGTTAGCATTTTTTCCTTACACGCTGGTGTGGTGATGACACACAGATGGAGGTATTTTGGAAGTATTTCTTGTTGTATCATGGGGAATTTAATAGGAAGGGCTCTGACTCATACTTTCCTCTGCACGCTGTCCTGTGGATCTAAGAACATAAACCAGTTACCAGCACAGAGTCAGTTCTTGTGTTCTAAGCTGTTCCTACTACCTTCCTGTCCTTTTCAAATGCATGTTATTTATGTGCAAGCAGAATGGAAAGAGGATAATTGCTTAAGGCTTTTGATCTAGTATCTGCAGTAGAGTTCTGTTTTTCTGTGTTAAATAAAAAATAAAATACCTTCACCATGTATGAAGCACCACTTACAATAAAATAGAACTTCTGAAGTGCCATGCTTCTTTGTCTTTTCCTCCTAGCTTTCCCTTAGAGGTCTTTCCTGCAAAGAGCCTCTGGTGCCTGAGGAAGACTTTAGAGTCACATTAGAAATGGGCTTCCATGGAAGGAAGGGCACACAGGATGATCTGAAAACAGGATGTGTTTTGGACACATTCCTCTGGTTCTCTATTTTGGTTTTGCTTGTAGATTCATTTCCTTTTTGTAACAGCTTGTAGTTCAGTGATCTGCTGTGTGCGTAAATTCTAATGGATTACCTTTAATCTTACAATTTAAGCTTTTTATGAAGTGTACTCTTAAGAAAACAGAAATGCACCACTGAGTTTAAGTGTCAGTTAGCCAGGAGAGAAATGCTGTCTGTACAAGAGTGGTTTGACAAGACAGATTCAGGTCTGAGAGAACAACTTCCTCTTTCCAGCCTTCTCCCAGCAGCAATCACTTTGATCTCATTAAATAAAAAAAGAAAGAAAAAAAAAAAAAAAAGAAACTTTATCTGTTTGCTAGAATGACAACAGAAAAACTCCCAAAGCTGATCTGGAAATGTTTTAAAACAACATAATGACCGTTGGGTTTTCTCCTGCATTGCGAGTGTCAGTCTCACGTGTTCGAAAGCTGAGTCTGTGTCCCCGAGGTCAGGCGTTGTGGGGGGTTCCTGCTGGGCTGGGACAGCCTACAAACCCTCACTGTGCACCTGCTGCTCCTGCTACTGCTTTCTTCTCCTCCATTTGTGGTCTTCTGCACCTGAATTTGGGTAGCTCCTTAGGATTTGCTATCTGACAACTTTTGGGAAGTTTTACTACAGAACCTTGTTCTGTAGTCACTGCCTGTGGTCACTGCCTGTGGTCACTGACAAAGTGTGCAATGACTGATTCTAAAAACCTAAATTCACCCTACTAATGCTTATAGTGTTGTCTAGAATACTAAAATGGGGGTGGTTATCTCTGTAATACTATTGTTAAAAGCATTTAGATTACTTTTTGCTAACCACCTTTAAGCTGGACTCAAAATAAGTTCACTTCAATGTTTGATCCAGAATGTGGCCTGTCTGTCATTTTGCCTATACTGCAGAATTAGTTTTAATTCATTGTAAACTAATGGTGTAAACTGTGGCATGTAATCATTTGCTTTAAATATGCTTGTGCTCAGATATTTTAGATTAGCAGTGGAAATTGAAGAAAGTAAACTTTTAGCACTACTGTAATAGTAAACTTTGGAATTAATGGATTTACAGATAAGAATTTTGCAGTGTTTTTTCCTTCTGGAATTGAACTGTATATACTTTGTGTAATTTTTTTCCCCAATAATAACTTAATTTAACCTTTTCTAATAAAGTTCTGCAGTATATACACATGGAAAATTCATACATTTGGATCACCACAGTAAAGGAGAGTACTGTTCTTTGTACATTAAACTTGATCTTAAAACTAAGATCTTAAAACTAAGATCTTTAAACTAAGAGTTAAAAGCAGGACATATCAACCTATCAAATGCAGTAAGACAAAGTGTAGAATGAACATAGAAGTGTCTGCCTTCTAGTGAAATAAGTGAAAGACTTATTTACTGGAAACAGGTAATAAATGACTTTTTTTTAAAGGAGTGTCCACATGATGGTTATCTACAGTAATGAATTCCAGAGGCACCTGCCAAAGTCAGAGTTGTTAGAGATACACATGGAAAATGTTATTATATTGGGTAGCAGAGTTCAACAGCTATGGAGCAAAGCTCATGTTAATGACTTGTGGTTAGGTGGCATTCAGGGCAGGACTGCCTCATAAGATTATTGTTGGTAGGACTTGGACCTGTTGATTCCAACTAGTACCAAAATAACAGGATCTTAGTTCTACCAACATGTTTTAAACTCTGTTGGTTTTTTAAACCTTGTACTTAGGCAAATAAGATGCAGAATTTTGTACTGTTTTGTGTGTATTGAGAAGGGCTTCATTGAAAACAGATTTTCAGTCAGTTGTCTTTTTACCTAACCTTTGAACTAAAGGAGGAAAAAGGATCTGTGAAAGCTAGAAGTAATTATGTCTATCATTTGAGAAATTAAAAATGAGAGTGGGAACAAAGTAGCAATATAATCTGTTTTTTTTCTTTAAAATGTAGATGTTGGTAAACAAGTTTTGAGAAATTAAAAATGAGAGTGGGAACAAAGTAGCAATATAATCTGTTTTTTTCTTTAAAAAGTAGATGCTGGTAAACAAGTGCTGTCTGGCTTTTTAAATGTATATGTAAAGATTTTTGAACTTAGTGCATATGAGTAGAGGTCATCACTACACTTTGCTGTTCCTATTAGCTCCTTTCTTGAACTGAGGGCTTTAACAGATGCACTTTACCTACACCCCAGTGACTAATGGAATTCTGCCATACCTTGATTAGGACTCACCTGTTTATTGGATGAGTTTGAACTATGGTACTGATCTCCTTTTATGACCAGATGACCTGCCTAGTGGGTGAGGGAAAGGCTGTGCAGTCTGCCTGGACTTCAGTAAGCCTTTGGCACTGCCTCCCACAGCAGTGTCCTGGAGAACAGGCAGCCCATGGCTCGGACAGGGGCACTCTTTGCTGGGCTAAAAACTGTCTGCACGTCTGGGCCCGGAGCACGGTGGTGAATGCTGCCACATCCAGTTGGGACCAGTCACTAGTGGTGTTTCCCAGGGATGAGGACTGGGCCCAGTCCTTTTTGAGGTCTTTATTGATGATCTGGATGACAGCATTGAGAGCACCCTTAGGAAGTTCATGGATGACACGAAGTTGCATTGAGAGTGTTGATCTGCTGGAGGGCAAAAAGGCTCTGCAGAGGGAACAGGACAGGCTGGCTCTGGGTGACAAGGCCAGCTGTGTGAGGTTCAACAAGGCCAAGAGCTGGGTCCTGCCCCCAGGTCACAACAACCCCCTGCAGCACTACAGGCTGGGGCAGAGGGGCTGGAAAGCTGCCCAGCGGAAAAGAACCTGGCAGAGCCTGGCGACAGGGCCTCAACACGAGCCCAGGTGTGCAAAAAGGCCAAGGGCACCTGGGCTGTGCCAGCCATGCTGTGTCCACCAGGACACAGTGACCATGGTCATGGGGGGCACATCCAGTGGGCTCCTCAGTTCAGGAGGGACATTGAAGTGCTGGAGTGAGTCCAAAGCAGGACAACAGAGCTGAGAAGGAGCACAGGTCTGATGAGGAACAGGTGAGGGAGCTGGGGGTGTTTAGCATGGAGAAAAGGAGGCTCAGGGGTGACCTTATCACTTTCTACAGCTACTGAAAGGAGGGTGTAGCAGGGTGGGGATCAGCTTCTTCTCCCAGGGAACAAGTGATAGGATGAGGACATGGCCTCAAACTGCTCCAGGGCAGGTTTAGGTTGGACATTAGGAAGAATTTCTTCACAGAAACAGTGATTAGACATTGGAAAAGGCTGCCCAGGGAGGTGACAGAGTTGTTATCCCTGGAAGTGTTCAGAAAAGGACTGGAGATGGCACTTTGTGCTCTGGCTTGGTTGACAAGGTGGTATTT